GCTCTATACTCTCTCCTTCGCCTCCGCGCGGATGTATGCGCGTCTCTATACAATATTGTATTATATAGTATATAGTATATTTTCCAAGTGATCCTGCCGCTGCTGCTGCTGCACTCGGCCGTTATATGGATCCTTCGCCCCGCGCGCGAGCGCTATGTTATCGGGTGTTACAGATCTCTCGGAAGCGTTTCTCGAAGCACTACTGCTAGCTACTACTACTCGTCCGCTGCAAGCTGCAAGCTCTCTCTCGAATCTCCTATACAAAAGGGAAATAACCCGGGCCCGAGAGAGCATAGCTACTTCAACTTCGTGAATACACTTACGTAGTAGTAGAGACACAATATATATAAACGAAGGAGCACGGCGATCTCTCTCTCGTTTCGGGGTGATTGTGTGTATATACCGAAGCTTCTTTTACGGAGACTGCTGCTGCTGCTGCTGCTGCTGTTGCGTTGTGTATACGCTGTATACACAAACTCATTAGAAGTAGTGTCATTCGACGCGCGTTATACAAGTGCGAAATTCGATTAACGATGAAGATGCGCGCGACGAACGATTCATTCGATATCTTTGCAAGCTGCTGCTGCTGCTGCCACAAAATTTCAAACGAGCTTTTGCTCGAGTAGATGCGAGAATGCAGCTTCCTGCACACGTATTATTATTATTTTTAAGCTCCGGTATGTAGTCGTATGGAGCTTTTAGAAAAAAAAATGCACTAATTCAAGCGCCTTTTGCGCATCGGGTATAATAAACGTACGGCGATAGAAAGTAGAAAAAAAGTAAATTAGAATGGCATTTCGTTAATCCATCCATCCAGTCGCATCAAGCTCTCTCTAGCCGCGTGAATAAAAAGCTCTATATAGTTGGCACAATGCTGTGCTAGCTAGCTAGCTAACTATACAGCTCGCGCGAGAGCCGGGCAATGAAAGGGTCAAAAAAGAGTCTCCGTGTGCGATATTATTATTATCATTGAAAGCTCTGCCCATGGCGTGGTGCTGCTCTCGATCGAGGAATTTGTGAGCAGCGCCTCGAAAAATAGCCCTCGTCGAGTCGCGCGAATATGTGCGAAGAAAAAGAAAACGAAGACGAAGCAGCGGAGTAAGAAGAAGAACGAACGAAGAAGCTGCAAGCTGGAAAGTTGGTCGTGGCGACGTGATCGACATACAGAAAAAGGTGGCGAATTTGTGCTCTCAGGACATTTTTAGATTTTCTTCTGTATATATCTGTATACACGTAAGAGCTGCCGAGGACGCCTCGTGCATAGTCGGGGTAGTATCCGTATAATAAACGTGGACATACACACGGGAGCGAGTATAAAGCTCGCAAGCTCTCTCTCTCTCTCTCTCTCGGCTTGCGTTTATATACATATTTTTCCTACACACACACACACAGAGGTACTGAACTGAAGCTGCGCCGCATACACGTAGGTATGTATGTACTCTGTGCTCTGGCGGTGCACAGTGACGTCAGTCGCGAAGAGAGAGAGAGAGAGAGAGACGGCGCTGATGCCGGATCCGATGCTGTGCACGGCAGCAGCATAGCAGCAGCAGCAGCGTAGATATAGACATAGAGACGTACATAGACACACACACATACGTACACAGAGAGTAAACACACAAGTTGACCTGTTTCGGAAACTCACAACCCAACCCTTTCGCGCAAATCGCATATACGCGCGCCACCGCCGCCGCCGCCGCCGTCGCGTCCTGAGAGCAGAGCAGCCAGCAGCCAGCAGCAGCCAGCAGAGTATACTCACGCCCGTTACGCGCGCGCACAGTTGCGCTCTCCGACTCTATATATATATATATACGTATTTGACTCTGTGTCTGTATGTATGCACACACACACACACGCGCGCAGGTACATATATACATTATATATAGCTGCTGCTGCACGACAGAGCTATGGTCCATGGCAGCAGCAGCATCCCTCCTCCGACTTATACTCAGCTGCCACCGCCGCCACCACCACCACCACCGCCACCAGCCACCAGCCGCCGCTGCCGCTGCTGCTGCTGCCGTACAACCTATATATAGCATCTGTATATATATAACGGTATAGAGCCAGGTTTGCTGCTGCTGCTGCTGTGCCGCGCTCTGTGCACAGTTCGCACCTTCGCAAGCTCTCTCTTCGTCCGCAGAGCTATGTGCAAGCTCATATTCATGCTGTGTGCATATTATACCTCCGCGCGCGCACACACACAGACAGAGCTAGCTAGCTAGCTTGCTCCGAGTCGACGACTCTGCTGCTTCTATACATACATATACTCCGCCGCCGTTGCCGTTGCCGCCGACGACTCCGACTCTCAACGCTATTTTACAGGCAGTTTCATTAAAAACTTTTTGACTTGCATTAACTATAGTTTCAAACTATTGCTCTCTTTTTTTTTACCCCCGCGTCGACTATACTATACTCTACCTTATAACTCCTACGGTGGAAAAAGCTCTGCAAGCTCATTTCTCTCTTTCTCTCGCTCTCGCTCTCTCGACTGCGAGCGAGAATATGCCGTGCTCGCCGACGACGACGACGACGACGGCCAAAGTGGCCCCAAAGACTCGCAAGGGTAATTGAGCGCGAAGAGAGAACGTATATAGAACGAGGCGTTTGTCAGCTGCTGCTGCCACTGCTACTTGTTTGTGCTGCACGGTCTCGCGATTCGTGAAAATATTTTATGTATCATAATAATAATGATAATGACGATGAGGACGATGATGCACGCACGCTTGGTCGCGACCGCCTACTTATAATAACTCGCGCGAGTCGTCGTTTACCGATCAGCAGGTTCATTGTCACGAGGGGTATTTAATGAGCACGAGCAGCAGCGTCAGCAGCAGCAGCAGCAGTACCTCGTTCATTTAATTTTCATTCCCATTGAGCTGGCGATAATGAAATTGTCGCGCAGATATCTATATATGTATATAAAGAGCTTCGGTAGTACAGCAGTGTATATTATACCGCGTCCGTGTGTTGTGGTCGTCGCTGCTGCCATGGGCTTCGGGCAAAACGAACGACGCTTTGGCACAGAGAGAGAGAGTAAAGAGAACCCGCGAGAGCTCGACGTATATAAGCTGAGGGGATGACGAGCGCCCGCGTGGCTGCGGTGCACATGTGTCGATGCGTCATATCCGAAAAGAGACTCGCCATGCACGACGGAGAAAAAAACATTTTTTACCACCGCCGCTGATTTGACTGACCATGGTACTAAAAAATACGTTTGTACAGTTTCATGTACGTGTACTCGCGAGCCTCGTGTGCATGCGAAACGAGAGTTACATTATGCATAGGCAGCAGCAGCAGCAGCACGAGGCACACACAAATGTGCAGTGTGCAGTCAGTGCAGGCGAATATATATAGCGCCAAGGCAAGGTCGATCCCCCAATGGCAGTCACGCCAAAGTATACAGTATACAGTTTATTCAGCCTCGAGCACGATAAAAAAAAAAAAAACACAGAAAAATGACGTTTATTACGTAGAACCACGAAGGATGGACGCGCTCGACGTACACGATTGAGCTTTTCGTTCGTTTGTTTGTCGTGCTTTGCAAGCTCGCTCGCCACCGAAAAAGCTCTGCCCAGCTTTTCATGCATTGGCATTGGGATCGTCGATGTCGATGTCGCGATGTCGATGTCGATGTCGATTTCGCTGCGGCCTGCGGACCCGCGAAACACACGACACGAGGGCTCTTCGCGAGCGCGATAAGGATTTTTTTCCTCCCCGCATGCAGAACGCGGACGTATTATTCTCGCGCTCGCGCGATGCATGGAGAGCAGAGAGAAATGCCAGTAATTTCAGTTGTCTCTCTCTCTCTCTCTCTCTCTCTCTCGGCTGTATATACGTGTATTTGCGTGTGTGGTGCGGGTAGGCATTGTTATAAAGGCGCGCAATACGTCACTGCAGCACAGCAGCAGCAGCGAGAAATGGTTAAAACATATAGAGCTCGCATGTGTGTGTGTGTGTGTGCTCGCGCGCGAGGTCGTACACCTGCAGCCAGCAGAGAGCCTATATACGCGCGTGTGTGTGTGTGGGGGTAGGTAGTTTGCGTGTGCAACGCACGTCCGTCCACGCGCGCTCGCTCGCAAGCTCGCAAGCTCGTATAGGGCAGAGCTGCCCCGTGTATTTTATTATTCGAAAATCTGCAGTACGATGTGTCGCCTACATACACGCGCACACATTAAAGCGACGCATTATATTATATGTGCGTTTGGTGTGTATGTATATATATGGACGCCGACGCTTTGACGGCCGACTGGTGCAGCAGCAGCAGCAGCAGCAGCAGTCGAGTCGAGTCGAGTCGCGCGCGCGCTCGTGAATTTCAGCGTATATATGGGCTGCACAGAGACGAGAGAGGCACCTGACTACACGAAACGTACACACGCATACGCGTACATATACGTGTGGGTAGTAGTAGTAGTAGTACTTGTGTATGCACTCACACACACATACACACACTGACACGGGGTTCTGCTGCTCTCGATGCGCGAACGATAATAAATATAAATTTCGCTCGTGTACGCGTATACACGCACACACAAATGCCACGGTCAATAGTATAATACGCGCGCGCGCGCGACAGGGTATGGGGGCCGTGTGCACACACATCGCGCAGCAGCGGCAGCAGCAGCACACGGATCTCTCGCAACTACTAACACTACCACTACCGCCGAATACTCCGAGCGAGCGAGCGACGAGCTTTTCTCGCGCGCGTACATTATTCGCGCGATTTACATTGCCAACGAGTCGAGCGAGCTGCTGCTGCTGCTGCTGCTGCACCAATGCACACACACATACACACAGACACATGTATTTGCAGTTTGACGCGATCTTCGCACACAATTACCGTGAAAATCGCGCGCTGCGCTGAATTATATACGGGAGGAAAATAATTTCTATCGAAATGCGCGCTGCTGTCAGCTTATGTACAGACATTTCAATGCGTACGTGTGTGTGTGTGGGTAAATTATAATAATAACGACGACGACGACGATATCGTACGTACTCACCGAGTTGGCTGACTCGACTCCAGGGCAGTGATGGGGGGTGGGCTATTGCCCTCCGTCGAACTCCGCGAGGAACGCACTGGCTGCCTATATATCACAAAATATAGGAGCGGCTCTCTCTCGAGACTCTCCCGCGCTGCAGCTTGCAGCCAAGCTAGCTCTTCTCTTCTGACATTAGGTCGGAGCGAGGTAGCAGCAGCGTCGGCGGCGCTGGAACGAGCGGGCGCCACCCGCGACCTGCTGCAACATCCTCCGCGCTCAACGGTGGTGGGCTTCACTCAACTATCAACTATTATTTTTATTTATAATTTAAAAAAAAAAACAAAAAAAAAAAACTACAACGCCAAGGCCACTTGGTCAATTTTTCCGTAGTCGAGCACACGCACGAGCGGTCGTGTCGTCGCGCGCACAGAGACGAAGAGCTTGTACAGAGGGTGTTAATATACGCTGCCGATCGAACTGCACTGACACATTAACTATATACGACACAGACTAAGCACAGGCAGGCAGGTGCAAAAGGGTATATTAATGCAAAAAAGACGTCCGTCGAAAAGCTGACGACGAGTCTCGGCTCTCGGTGTGTGCACTCACTCTCTCTCTCTCTCTCGTTCAGTGCCACTGCACCGCGCCCCCCGCTGTCTACTACCCTCCCTATGTGTATATACGTGCACTCGCTCGCTCTGTCTGTCTGTCGGGTGCTGCGCTGCGCTGCGCCTGCTGCGGCTGGCTCTGCACTCGCACTACTACTGACGGTGGCGGTAGTCGACGTCGTCGTCGTCTTCTGTACTCTTTGGCTTTGCCGCCGCAGCAGCAGCAGCAGCGACGATATATATAATACACAATCAGGCAGGCAGGCAGGCAGGCAGGCAGTACTAGTCGGCGGCGTAGGCGGTGGTCCTCCTCGCGCTCCCTCTCTCTCTCTCTCGCACTCCCTCTTTCCTTTCACTCGCTTTCGCGATCTCTCTGGATCCGCAGCTACTGCTTCTGCTGCTGCATTATGTATATCGTGTGGAACGACGATCCTCTCTCCAGTTTTGCGCTTCGTTTTTCTCAAGCCTTTATTATAATACTGGCTTTTTAGAAGGCCTGTGTGCGCGAACAGTAGCAGCAGCCTGCACACCTGCACACCTGTACACTCGCGCGCGCACGAGACGACGACGACGACGACGACGACGAATATCATACACACGGCATATGCCCTGTGGTGTGTGCTGCTCGGCCGATACGTACGCGAGCGCTGCTGTTGGCCCCTCACTCACTCACTCTCTCTCTCTTTGCCCTCTCGCGCAGCTGAATTGCCTGTGCGCTCTCTGCGCCTGCACCTCTTTCTCTCTCTCTCTCCGCGCGCTGTGTTATAGACAGAGAGAGAGAGAGAGAGAGGAAAACGTACCCTCTCTAACGCATGCGCCGGGACCCTCTTGGGCTACTCTCGACTCGCGATTCCCTCAGCAGCAGCAGGCTCGCGCAGCGCCACACAGCTCGTCGAGCTTAAATACGCAAGCTCGTGGCTGTGTTTATATGTGTGTGCCACCTTTCCAAAATATATGCATAAATAGCGAGACTCGTGTCCGTCCGTTGTACTGTCAATTCCATAAGTATACATACCCTTGGAGCATATACGTGTAAGGATCTGGACCTGATATAACACTCGATACCCATGCGCGTGTCGATACCACGCGCGCGCGAAAGCTTAGACCAGACTCTGCGTACGGAGTTAGCCGATTACAACGGATACAAAACATCGCGCACGAAGAGAGAAGGGCCGCAGAGCTCTTCAAGCTCTCTCTCTCTCTCTCTTCCCGACCCTCGTGTATATTATAGCAGTTACACGTTGCGCCTGCACTGCGCGAGCCCTACTCACAGCTCGCAGCCTCTGTGTACCAGCTCGTTATTATCCCGACAAATTATCCCATCTTCCCCCTCGCGCGCTTCGAGCTTCCCCCCTCTCGAAACTATATAATTGTCTGCCGCGGTTTATATACGTGGGTACGTAGGTACGTGTACGAGCGACCGGCGTATAAGTGTATACCCGCGTTACATTAACTGCAGGCCGCTGCCGCTGTGTATGTATAGGAAACCATGTTGAGTTGGCAGAGCTCAATCTCGGGTTATACGAGCTCGATTCGATGTGTAGCTCTGCCAACGCAATTTTTTGAGTTGATACAGCTCAATTCATATTTTTCAATGACAACAAACGTGAACTGAGCCACATCACGTCAATATCACGCGTTTGTAAGTGAACATAACCAGGATGTTCATTAAAATGAACATAGCAACATCTGACAGTTCAACGATCAGCAACGATATAACATTTAGTTTCGAGGACTATATTTTTGGGCTCACACAGCTCAATACAATTAACTAAATTTGGTTGAGCTGCTGTTCCTCAAGAGGGTTTCCAGTGTACGCATTGACTCGTTAACGCGCGTTGTCAACGGCGCGCGAGCAGCTCCCGAAAAGCTCTTGCCGCCCAAGAGCGAGCGGCGGCGGCGGCGGCTGCAAGTAGTGCGTGTCGAACTGTAGTCAGACGTAGCATAATATCGCGCGTAAACGGGGGAATGAATGCGCGACGGATTCCGACTCTCTAAATACTCGCACTTCGATTCTCGTGTTTATGTTTCATAATCGAAGAATCTTGTTTATAGCGCTCTTATGATAATTTTGTTTCTTTTTAATAGCTAATGAATTTTCATAATCAACGATTATTACAGCCGCGTACGTTGACACATTTTTGTCACGCGCCTCGTGTGTTATTTTATACATACGATCCATGCGCTCTCTCTCTCGTCTACCCCCCCCGTATTATACCTATATAAAAGCACATGCGCATTGACCGTCAAACTGTCAGTCGTGTCGGTATAGTCGTTGCTCATAAACAGTGCAGTGCAGCAGCTCTCGTGCACATAACATACATGGCGCACGCGATGCACATATACGTGTACGTACGTATATGCACTCCACCGCCGCGACGACGACGACGTCGACGTCGATCGATAAATATTATTATTTGAGCGCGGCTTAAAAAGTGTGCACACAGCTAGGCTCCCCGTCGCATAGCGCGGCGCGCGCGTACATTATAAATATAAATCGTGCGTCGTGTCGCGCGCGCCCGCGTCAAGGTTGCCAATGCCATCCGCAGTTGTATATATATATGCGCGCACACAAACATAGGACGACGCTATTTATGAAGATTAAGCGCGCGACGCGAAGTTTTGGGGGCCACGCGGGGGTGTTATTATTATCTCGCGCACGACTCGATATAAATCGCGTGTGCATAAGTAATGCGCAGCTGCCCTTTGTATGCTCGACTTCGGGACAAGGATTATGTAAAGTTGATCGAGCTTGCGGAGCTTGCGAGAGAGAGAACGGCTACTTTATGTACGTACGCGCGCGCGCGCGAGAGCGAGTCGTGTCGCGTGGAGAATCGAATTCAGCGAGATAGAAAGAGCCAGAGAGAAGAATGCACTCGTCATTCTGGCAGCTGCCGAGGAGAGCGAGAGAGAGAGAGAGTCGAGTCGAGAATAGCAGAATGCAGCGGCGAAAGAAAGTAGGCTAAAGGCACAAAAGAGAGCGAGAAAGAGGAAATATGCTCGGCTCGTGCGGAGCTTGCTAAAGGTATAACAGCAGCAGCAGCATCAGCCTACGGGGTGACCTGGAGCCTTTGGCAGCGCGCAGCGTGTATATAACGGCACGTAAGCGCTGCAGCTTTGCCTATATAGCAGTACTAGTAGCAGTAGTAGTAGTAGTGTCGCCAGTCAGCCAGCCAACGCGTGTGTTAACTTGCGCGACGACGACGTCTCTCCGCGAGAGAGCTTTAAAAGCTCGAGGAGCGATATATCGCTCGGCGCGTTATTTACCCCTTCGCGCGCGCGCACACACACACGCACGCGAGTCACCTATAAGTGTGTGTGTGTGTGTGATGACTGCGACGTATGTATAGGTATATGTAATACGTGGCACGGACTCTTGGCACGGGGGAGGCTTTGAGTGCGATATATATACTCGCGCGCGCACAAGCTGCCTCGGCGATGTACCGAGTGCAACGTATCGTATATATGTATACGTGTGTGTGTGTATACAGGTATAGGTCGAGTGAGCGCGCGAGCCGAGAAAGGGTCGAAACGTATAAGGAAGCCCTTGAAATCAATAGCCACCACCGTCGCCGCCGCCGCCGCCGCCTGCAGCAGCGCAGCGCCTGCCTGACTCTGTGCTGCCTGCGTCACGTGCGCCGCGCGAAACGTCTCTCTCTCTCTCTCTCTCTCTTTCTCGCCCACTATTGGGCAGGTGCGGAGAGTGTGCCTATGCCCCTGCTGCTGCTGCTGCTTCGAACGCTGTATGACGTCAACGGTACCGACCCAGGCCTACTGCTGCTGCTGCTGCTGCCGTCAATCGCACTTATAAATGCGCGCATAATGTAACCGATGCGTCGAGTCTCGCGCGCAGTCGGAGCAGCACGCACGTGCCGAGGCGCGCCAAAAAAGCTCCCCTACGGGATCGCGAATTCGCTGCTGCAGCTGCCCGAGTGATTGTCGTGCCTGTGGAAGCGAATCGCCATGAAAGCCTATAGCATCTACTCGTCGACGTGGTTTTCCCACTGCTATGATAATGGTTAAATGTGTGTCCGTGATTTGGGCCACCCTGATCTGATTAGGAAAGCTGCAACGACATCATCGATCGATTATTCTTTTCTTTCAACCGCTGTACGGAATAGGCATCAGTCGAGCGACGATCGGCAGAAATTTCAATGCAACATCCACGACCGAAACACTGCGTTCGACTCGCAATAACTTGAGAATCATGAAAATGGATGCAATTACCCGGCAATGCCTAAATCGTACGAAAAAAAGGAAGATTGAAATAAAATTTATTATACAAACAATTTCTAGTTCAAAAAATTAAGGAATTCAATAATTTTATTCATTCAAATTGTCAACACTCATTGAAAAACAAAGCGACTTTGAAAAGCCGACAAAACAATATATCAACAAAACATATTTATAACTTATTCTATACTAATGTATTATATTTTCGAAGCTTAAGCTTTCAAATTTATGAATTTTTTGAGCTGCAGCCTTGCTTTGTATCATTTAAACTACTTCCATTGTCACGACTGATGGTTGCAAAATTGAAAATGAGTACTGATCTTGATCTGTTGCCGCGAAGCAAATATTACACAGATCTTCGTTCGTTAGCTGATGGATGATATTTTCGCAGCAGCCGATAATGTATGAGTTCGAAGAAATATTCCAGGGCCCATCGCCGGCAAAATACTCTTGGTACTTTCTCGTACAGATGCAGCATGACATGCTCGGGGAGCCACCGCCATTCTTTCGAACGATCAAGATCGTGGTAGTCCCAATAGGTGAGTATTTTTGTTGCCTCTTTGGGCAACAAAAATTTGCTGTCTCGATCTTTGCTTTCTCGACCTCCGAAATATCATGGTAGGAATCCACGGTAAAATCTTTGCTGATTTATCGTAATCTTGAGCTGTTGCCGCGAAGCAAATATTACACAGATCTTCGTTCGTTAGCTGATCGATGATTATTTCGCAGCAGAGGATAGGCAGCCGATAACGGATCAAATCGTAGAAATATTTCAGGGCCCATCGCCGGCAGAATCCTCTTGCTACTTTTTCGTATAGACATAACATTAAATGTGTCTCATACTTTTGGGGAAGCTTCATTAATATGCACGAAAAGTCAAGACAAGAGTACTCCCGATACGTGAATATTTTTTCCGCCTCTTTGGGTCCCAACCGGATCAGGTCGTAGAGCGACACTCTCGGAGTCATCTCTGTCTCGATATTTACTCTCTCGAATTCCAAAATATCCGCATTGTATAAGTAGTCGCTCATTGAGATCCTTGGCGAAATCCTAATCCGTTTCGCTATTCTCACAAACTCTTCGTCATTGTACAAATGTGTTTCGAAAGACGTCGATTTCTCGAACAACTTAAGTCTACTGAAAATTTTCATGATTATCAGGACGTAATCTTTCACTTCGTATCCTCTTTTTTCGAGACTCTCGAGAATGGCCAGTGCGCCAGACTCTATGTTATATTTAAAACAAATCGAATTATCATACTCTGAGTCAAATCTCGCGATGAATTCGTTCTCAGGTAGAAGTACGAAGCTGGACACATCAGCGCCATGATCCAAGAGCCAATCGACTATTCGTGGCATGAGCCTCGCCACGGCCAATTGCAGCGGTGTCCTACCCAACTTGTCACGGGCGTCGACTTGCAGCTGCAGATTCAATTCGTCAGTGACCTGGAAAAACTTCTTCACTTCTATCCAATGTCTGCGCTCGTTGCAAATTATGTGCAAAGGTGTCGACCCATCTTTGTCTGACAAATTCGGATCCGCGCCGTTTCTCATCAGTACTTCGGTCTGCTCGATTCGTCCCATTTCCAGAGCCCAGTGCAATGGTGTCTTACCAAAGACGTCGCGGGCATTGACCTGGAGCGGCTGCTTGATATCCTCGCAGATCTTGAATAACAGCTGTATTAGTTGAAGGGAGGAATGCGTGGTACTCAAGTGCAAAGAAGTCAATCCATTCTTGTTGGCCAGATTCGGATCGGCGCCGTTTATCATTAGTATCTCTGTTGTCGGTATGCACTCGTGGCCCACACTCAAGTGCAGCGGCGAATCACCCGTTTCCGGCCAGATGAGATTGGGATCGACCCGGCCTTGCTCGAGGAATTTTTGGACCAAATCTTGGCAGTTCCAAGCAATGCAGGCGGCATGAAAATGAGTGAGGCCGAAATCGTCGACGTAACTCACGTCGAACCTGTCGTATATTTTAAAAAGTTCAGAGATATTTTCCCAATCATTGAGTTTTTTTCTAGCCGCATGATGTATTGCTGTGGTGCGACGCAGCAGAAGTGGATTGTTGCCGTCTTTGGGAACGTCGATCCTGTCCTTGTAGCCGGTGCGAACAACAAATCGGATGAATTCTTGTCCCGAATGCATGTCGATCATCACGGCCTGGATGAGAAGAAAATCTATTTCATCTTGTTGAAAAATACTACGAAGATCGGGAAGTTTGACCTTCCAATTTTTGACCACTTGATAAAGTTGATCGAAAAATTTCTTTCGTTTTATTTCGATTGTCCATTTGATATTTGGTCTCAAGTCCCTCAACCTTTCTAATTCTTTTCGCTTAAAATAGTAAATGGGCGTCGACATTGTTCTGCGTACTTAATTACACTCAACCCAGATCGCTTTTTATTCGAAATATTCTTTTGACTTTAATCGCGAAAATCACTTGCTACAGTCGATTCGATATTTTTCTGTTGTTCACACATCAGCTTCGTTACGTATACACTGAGTCGGCACCGTTATACAAACACTACGATTTACGTAGAATGTAAACATGTGCGCGAAATTATTTAAAAGTATGGTAGACTCGAATCAATTACGCAGACAGCTTACAAGACACTATATTAATCCATTAACGACCAAAATGCTTGATTTTTTTGTTGGTTTTCGCAGCGATTTTTTTTTGTAGTTTTAGGCCTCCAAAAAGTTTCGTATGGACCTATTTCGATGTAAAATTTAATGCCCTTTCAAAAACTGAGCTCAAAAGTTCGATTCTTTGCGTAATAAAAAAGTTATGGCTACTTATACGAAAAAAAACGTAAAAATTTTTGCAAAAAATCAAGTTTTCGCTTTTTTTGGCCATGTTACGGTTAAGAAATTACGATATAAATATGATCAGAGGTGATCACGACTATTAAAGTATCTCAGAGAATTTTTATGGAATTTTTGAACTCCTTTTCAAACTTTGGTTTTTTGCACTTTTTCTCTAAATTCAGTAGATTTCGATTAAAAATGAGTTATGTTTTATGTGAACATAAGTTATTTTTTGTTTGAAGTAGTGGCTCGAAAATTCCATTAAAATTCCCTGAGATACTTTGATAGTCGTGATCATCCCTGATCATATTTATATCGTGATTCCCTAACGGTACTATGGTGAAAAAAAATCAAAAACTTAATTTTTTGCAAAAAATTTTACTTTTTTTTTCGTGTAAGTAGCCATAACTTTTTTATTACGCAAAGAAATGAAATTTTGAGCTCAGTTTCTGAAAGGGCATTAAATTTTATATCGAAATAGGTCCATACGAAACTTTTTGGAGGCCTCAAACTACAAAAAAAAATCGCTGCGAAAACCAACAAAAAAATCAAGCAGTTTGGTCGTTAATGGGTTAATTGAATTACAAGATGCTATATTATTGAAAATACACACTGAAAATACAGCAATCCGCTTTTGCTGGATACACACCACAAAACACTGCGTCCAACTTAAATGACTTGAAAATTATAAAAATCGATGCGTTACGGCAATGTCTAAACATTGTCTACGGTCATTTTATTTCCACCGATTTTGAAAGCCCAAAATTTTATGAAAAAAAAAAAAGAAAACTGAAATAAAATTGAAACACAAACAATTTAAATCCTATAAAGAATTAATAAATTCGATATTTTTATTTATTAAAACTGTCAACACTCATTAACAAACCAGGCATCTTTGAGGGGCCATCAAAACATTATATCAACAAAACATATTTATAACTTATTCTATACCAATGTATTATATTTTCGAAGCTTAAGCTTTCAAATTTATGAATTTTTTGAGCTGCAGCCTTGCTTCGTATCATTTAATCTACTTTCATTGTCACGACTGATGGTTGCAAAAATGAAAATGAGTACTGATCTTGATCTGTTGCCGCGAAGCAAATATTACACAGATCTTCGTTCGTTAGCTGATCGATGATTTTTTCGCAGCAGAGGATAGACAGCCGATAACGGATCAAATCGTAGAAATATTTCAGGGCCCATCGCCGGCAGAATCCTCTCATTACTTTTTCGTACAGATAAAGTATGACATCCTCGTAATAAATTCCGGGGAGCCACGGCAATTCTATCGAACGTTCAAGATCATAGTAGTCCCGATAGGTGAGTATTTTCGCCGCCTCTTCGGGTCTCAACCGTATCAGATCGTAGAACGACAGACTCGGAGTCATCGCTGTCTCGATCTTTGCTCTCTCGAACTCCGAAAAATCATTGTAATCTCCTCTACTTATCCTTGGCAAAATCTGAATTCGTTTCGCTTCTGTCGCAAACTTTTTGTCGTCGTACCAATGTGTTTTGAAAGACACCGAACTCTGGAACAATCCAAGTCTACTGAAAATTTTCATGATTATCAGGACGTAATCTTCTACTTTGTATCCTCTTTTTTCGAGACTTTCAAAGACGGCCAATGCACCAGACGATATTATGCCCAATTTAAAATAACTCAAATCATCTTTATTAGGGTCAAATCTCGTGGTGAAATCTTCCTCTGGAAGAAGAACGAAGCTGGATAGGTCAGCTCCACGATCGAGTAAACTCTCGACCGCGTGTGGCCTAAGATTCGCCACGGCCAATTGCAGCGGTGTCCTACCCAACTTGTCACGGGCGTCGACTTGCACCGGCTGATTCAATTCTTCAGTGACCTTGAGAAACGTCTCAGCTTCGCCGCGATCGACGAACAAAAGAGTGTATCTATCGTCGCTCTGACAAATGATGTGCAAAGGAGTATGTCCCTCGTCGTTGGGTAAATTCGGACTGGCCCCTTCTCTCAGCAGCACCTCGGCCACCTCCATGTGTCTGTGCTTCAGAGCCAAGTGCAATGGAGTGTCGCCCAAGTTGTCTCGGGCGTCGAGCCGCAGCGGATGCTTCCTGTCCTCGCAGAACAGCGCGTCGAACGTCAGCTTTGTTCCATGATTCCAGATCAATTTGGCACTCGTGTGCAGAGGAGTAAATCCATCCTCGTTGGCCAGATTCGGATCCGCACCGTTTCTCAGCAGAATTTTGACCGACTCGTTGCCACCGTGGCGCACACTCAGATGCAGCGGCGAATCGCCCGTTTCCGGCCAAACGAGATTGGGATCGACCCGGCCTCGCTCGAGGAATTTTCGGACGACATCTCCGCACATGCACGCCATGCACGCCACATGAAAATGAGTGAGACCTAACGCGTCGACGTAGTTTACGTCAAATCTATCGAATATTTTAAAAAGGTCTTCGACCATGCATTCCCAATCGTAGGGTTTGTATCTAGCCGCATGATGTACTGCTGTGGTGCGACGCAGCAGCAGTGGATTGTTGCCGTCTTTGGGAACGTCAATCCTATCCTTGTAGCCGGTGCGAGCAAGAAATTGGATGAATTCTAGTCCTTCGTAATAGTTCGTAATTGCGGCCTGGATGAGAAGAAAATCCACCTCTTGCTGATGAAAAATGCTACTAAAATAATAATGGTCTTTCCGATATCCGCATAAATCAAGAACTTGTATAAAAAATTCATTTCGTTCTTCTTCGATTATCCAATTGACATTTGGTGCCAAGTTCCTCAAAATTTTAAGTAAGTCCATTGTTTGGAGTACTTAATTACACACAGCACACCAAAAAAAAATATAAATTTTAATTTTTTTTCGCGAGAATCACTAGCTACAGGCGATGAGATATTTTTTCACTGCTCGAGCTGCGGCTGAGTCGGTACTACAGTTCAAAAATGAAAATTTCGATAAAGACGATTTGAGTAGCCGATTTGTTTACGTTTGACCGAGCATAAGACAAGAATAGCATATATACAGATAGACAACTAACCCCAGGCTGAATAAGCCCGCGAAATAACGAGATACACAAGACCTGAAATTATTGATGCTTCGTTATGGATTAACTTTTCTACACTTTTCGCGTGTTAAGAAGTTCCACTTAAAAAATAATGAACTTTGAGATCGGAATTATAAATTATCTACTTAAACAATTGAACAGATATGTAAATCCCTCGCTATAATATCAACTCACGCATAGCATGCCGAGTGCTCATCTCGCGGTTTAATTCGCAGCAGCCAAAATGTAATGTATTATTAACTTGAAAAGCAGCATCGACTCGTCGTGGCTACTCTACTGGTGCACTGAATTACCGAAGCTCTTTTAGCATTTACTTTATTTCTTTGATGCCTCTCATCAATAAACAAAGAGCTTTCGAAAAACTGTTGAAACAATTACACCAAACTTTTTTTATTTCAACATTTTTATAGTAGCTTGAGTTTTCATATTGATGATTTTTTTTTTAAATTACCTTCGCTTCGTACTGTTTTATGGGTCTTCATCATCTGAAGTATAAGAGTCGATCGGCACAAATTTCAATGCGGACATCCAACCAAAACACCGCAGTCGAATAACTTGAAAATAATGAAAGTCAGCGCATTGACAGCAATATTGATTAAGAAACTTCATTTTATTTCAACCTATTTTGAAAATCTGAAGTTTTATTAAAAAAGAAAAATTGAAATAAAATTCAAAAAACAAACAATTTTTCGTCCAAAAAACAAAGGAATTCAATAAATTTATTCATTCAAATTGTCAACACTCATTTTAAACCAAGCGACTTTGAAAAGCTGTCAAAACAATATACCAACAAAACATATTTATAACTTATTCTGTACTAAATATGTATTATGTCAAAGCTCAAGTTTTCAAATTGATGAATTTTTTAATCTGCAGCTATGTTTAGTACAGTTTAAACTACTTTCATTATCTCGAGTGATGGTCGCAAAAATAAAAATAAGTCATCAATAAGGATCTTGACTTGTTGCCGCGAAACAAATATTACACAGATCTTCGTTCATTAGTTGATCGATGATTTTTTCGCAGCAGAGGATAGGCAGCCGATAATGTATGAGCTCGAAGAAATATTCCAGGGCCCATCGCCGGCAAAATACTCTTGGTACTTTCTCGTACAGATGCAGCATGACTTCCTCGGGGAGCCGCCGAAAATCTATCGAACGATCAAGATCATGGTAGTCCCAATAGGTGAGTACTTTTGTTGCCTCTTTGGGTTCCAACCGCATCAGGTCGTAGAGCGACAGACTCGGAGTCATCGCTGTCTCATTCATTGCTCTCTCTATCTCCGAAATATCATAATTGTAATCTCTTTTACTGATGTTTGGCAAAATCTTGAACTTTTTCGCTTGGCTCGCAAACTCTTCATCATCGTACCAACGAGTTTGAAGGTACGTCGATTTTTCGAACAACTTGATGCAACTGAAAATTTTCATGACTATCAGGGCGTAATCGTCCACATTGTATCCTCTTTTTTCGAGACTCTCTAAGATGGCCAGTGCACCAGATGCTTTGATCAATTTAAAATATTTCAGATAAGCTATATCTGTGTCACATCTCGTGGTGAATTCGTTCTCAGGGAGAAGAACGAAGCTGGACAGATCAGCTCCGTGATTAAGCAAACTTTCGACCGTATAGGGCTTGACATTCGCCACGGCCAATTGCAGCGGTGTCCTGCCCAACTTGTCACGGGCGTCGACTTGCACCAGCTGGTTTATTTCGTCGCTGATCTCGAAAAATTTATCCATAATGTTATTATGGAAACTAGAAGAGCCAAAATTGCTAATGATGTGCAAAGGAGTATGTCCTTCGTCGTTGGGTAAATTCGGATTGGCCCCTTCTCTCAGCAGCAGCTCGGCCACCCCCATGCGTCTGCGCTTCAGAGCCAAATGCAATGGTGTGTTACCCATGTTGTCCTGGGCGTCGACCTGCAGTGGCTGCTGCATGTCCTCGCAAACCTCGAATAACAGCTCTATTAGTTTAAGGAAGGATGTACTCAAGTGCAAAGAGGTCAATCCATTCTTGTTGGCCAAATTCGGATCGGCGCCGTTTATCATTAGTATCTCTGTTGTCGGTATGCACTCGTGGCCCACACTCAAGTGCAGCGGCGAATCACCCGTTTCCGGCCAGATGAGATTGGGATCGACCCGGCCTTGCTCGAGGAATTTTTGGACCAAATCTTGGCAGTTCCAAGCAATGCAGGCGGCATGAAAATGAGTGAGGCCGAAATCGTCGACGTAATTCACGTCGAACCTGTCGTATATTTGAAAAAGGTCAAAGAGCATCACTGAACAAGCTTCGGATTTGTTTCTAGCTGCATGATGTATTGCCGTGGTGCGATGCGGCATTGAATTGTCATCGTCTTCCGGAACGTCGAATCTATCATTGTAACCGTTGTGAGCCACAAAATAAATGAACTTTAATCCTACACGATGGTCCAAAATTGCGGCCTGGATGAGAAGAAAATCCATTTCTTCCTGTTGAAAAATTCTATTAAGATCGGGAAGTTGGACCATCCAATCCTTGACCAAATCAAAAAGTCGTTGAAAAAATTTAATTTTTTCTTTGGTTTCCCAATTGAAATTTTCTCGTAGGCTCTTCAATGTTTTTAATTTTTTTTGGACTAAATCATGCACATCTTCGGAGTGGTCGTCACGGTTTTCGTCGCCTGGGCCGTCACCTTCTTCGCCTGCTTCGCCTTTTTCGATTTCGTTGTCCAAACCATCTTCGACGTAGAAGCTTACATCGACATCGTCGCTTACGACATGAAAACTCCGAGCGGATTCGTCGTTGGGTGTGGACATTGTTTCTGCGCACTTATCAACGCACTAAGCAATAAAATATTTTGATTTTTCTCTTGCGAAAATCACTTGCCGTAGTCGACGCGATTTTTCTCTGTTGTTAACACTTCAGCTTCGTAATGAATCAGCACCACTGACTATACCTACACCACGATCTACATAGAGTGTAAACATGTGCGCGAAATTATTCAAAGGTACACAAAACTCGAGTCAATTACGCAGACGGCTTACAAGATTCTATACAATGAAAAAATACAGCAATCAACTTTTGTTGGATTCACCCTAAGGATTTTTCTCTGTGTGCAGAGGCGTTACAAAAGCACATGAAACCTAAAACTGTCTTGTTCGCTCGCTGTTTTATTTTCACGGATTCACTTCTCCATCCATCTGACGCGCGTTGAGAAGTTTTACTAAAAAGATGATATAAAAAAGATAAAATTTTGCCGATTATCTATTCAACTTGAAGATAAGAATTGAAAGTAATAAGTACAAATGATTCAACAGATCAATAAAACCCCCCACCAAAACGCAAAAATCTCGTGGTTTAATTCTCATTAGCCTAATTATTATGCCAATTGATTTGGAAACAGCCCCTACTCGTCGCAGCTGTGTTAAAAAAATTAAATTTAGATGAAGCTTAGATGAAAAAAATAATTTTGTGTGGAATCTTTCCAACACGACGAATCTCTCTGGATGCGAACAGTGACAATTTTAATTGATTGATTTTTTCTCCTTCAATTGGTTCAATTTTAGCTTTCAGAGCAAAATCACCCGAAATTTTAACGCGAAAGTACGTACAAGTACCGTAGTCGAGTAAAATGTCTTGGAAAAATATGATAATCAGCGCATTACCAGTAATATTGATCAAATAAACCGTACTTACATTCTTTTTGTTTGCATTAATTTTGGAAGCTAGTAGACGTATGAAAAAAAAAGGAAACTGAAATGAAACCAAAACACAAACAATTTCAATTCAAGCAAACGAAAGAACCATTTTTTATTACATCACTTATTTGAAAAATGTGAAAAACCTTTAACATCGTGGAACGCCCGAGATTAATACAAGTATTCAATAACACGATGAGCTGTAACCGGCGGCCGCCAAGCAAACGCGACACAAATCGTCGCTCGTCAGCAGCTCGACGATGATTTCGCCGCAGAGAATCGGCAAGCTGCAGTGGGCGCGCTCCAGCAGCAGCTTCAGCAGCGAGTCCAGCGCCCAGCGTCGGAAAAATTTCCTGGGCAGTATCTTGCCCAGACGATCGGCGCAGGCGTCCGCGTACTCGTACGGGATGAACGGCGACTCGCAGAAGCGCACGAGCTCGAAGCAGTCCAGATAGCCGAGTCGTCTCTCCAACTCGTCGGGCGGTAACAGCAGCAAGTCGTGCAGCGACAGACCCGTATTAGCCATCCTCGTCCTCTTGGATAGCCTCGCGAACTTTTTGCTGCTGCGCAGTTGTTGCAGCAGCTCGTCCGGCGAGTCGACCTCGATCAATCCGTACTTGGCGAAGTACCTCATGATCGTCGTGGCGTCGTTGCGGTCCAGCTGGTATCCCTTCTTCTCGAGGCACTCGATGGTGGCCAGCGCCCCGGAGACCAGTTGCAGCTTGAAATTGCCGCGAAACTCGTATCTTCTCTCCTCGTATCTCTCGTCGAAGTCGCGCTCGGCGGGGAAAACGAAGCCCGACAGATCGGCGCCGTGATCCAGCAGAAACTCGACGGTGTGCGGCAGAAAATTCGCCACTGCCATTCGCAGCGGCGTACGGCCCTTCTCGTCCAGCGCGTCGACCTTTAGATTTAGCTCTTTCTCCTCGCACGCCTTGAAGACGATCTCGATCATGCCGTCGTCCTCGTCTCTCTTGCAGACGACGTGCAGAGCGCTGTATCCCTCGGCGTCGCGCGAGTTGGGATCCGCGCCGTTTCTCAGCAGCGCCTCGATCACGGGCTTCCTGTCGAGGAGCATGGCCCAGCGCAGCGGCGTGCGACCCTCCGCGTCCACGGCGTCGACTTTGACCGCCCGGCCGAGCTCGTTCGCGGTTCCGAAGAACGTCTTCATCAAATC